TTCCGGTCACTAACCGGAAGCAATTTTGAATGTATTTTTTTCATTGAATTGAACTTGAATTTTCATTGAATTGAAATTGAATTTTCATTGAATTGAAATTGAATTTAATTGAACTTGAATTTTCATTGAATTGAACTTGAATTGAAATTGAATTGAAATTGAAAATGAATTGAAATTGAATTGAAATTGAATTTTAGTATTGAATATTGCTACAATTGGCTTGCCATATTCAAGTAGATTTCTCTTATACATGTGAGAATTTTAACAAATGGACATTGCTGTCATATGTGTGGGAATAAAGCCTACAAATGGACAAAGTATGAGCGAAATTGAATTTTGAGCTGTGTCCGCGATTCCTTTGATTTTTAAGGGTGTGGACAAAACCTGGCCTACCCTGTGGCCTACCCTATGGCCTACCGGTGGTCAGATTTTTAAGAGGATAGCATTATTGGAAACCTTTCAACGTTTTCCAGAGTACTGTCTTACCAACGACTTTCTTCTGCTGTTTTGGCGGCCACATTCCGATCAAAATTTCTTAATCTTCTGATAGAATAAGGAAATCGAGGAACAAAAGCCGGTTAACCGCAACTTTTGGGCAAACATCATCATATCAGCTCTCCTTTCAAGTTAGTGCAATACTGGCCCTTTCTTTGGAAAAGCAAGTAAAGTTTGCGAAATGTTTACGACGGCGATGCGTGCGTGTCCCGGGGTGCTCGTTGCAAATTCAATACTCTACAGCACTTGAGGGCACTTAAAAAATTGGCCTGGCACGTAATGTTTGCGTTTTCTTACCTGGATATGTATGCTCTCCAATATAACGCCGTTCATTACATTTTTACACCAGCACTCCACTATATGTTACCAACTGACAGCCTGCATCATAAAGCCGCCATTTTGTATATCCTCTCCGACCACTCTAACCGACCGCATTCCATTCACTCTCACGTTTCACCCTCACAACCACTCAGTTAAATCCATCATTCTTAAAAACTTTAAATTACTTCAAAACGATCCAGAGACAAGCACTATCTTTTCGCAGCCTCCGCTCATTTCATTCAAACGCGACAAAAACATAGGCAATTTTTTGGTCAGAAGTTCTTTTCAGACTAATGACCAACCAGGCACTTTTAAATGCGCTCGTGCACGATGCAAAACGTGTCCTTTCATTCACAACACTGATAAAATATCGGGACCTAAACGATCCATTAAGATCACCGATCACTTCACGTGCACCTCCGCCAATGTAATCTATTGCATAACTTGCACTTATTGCAAAAAGATATACATCGGCGAAACAGGCAGAAGACTAGGTGACCGATTCCGAGAACACCTTCGAGACGTGGAAAGGAATGACAAGGACACATCGAAACCAGTCGCTAGACATTTTAATTTACCTAATCATTCTAAGCAACATATGGCAATCTGCGGTCTTTCCTTGCACTTAGGTGGCACGGAAAGCCGTAAAAATCTTGAACAAAAGCTCATCTTTCAAACCGGCAGTCTAAATCCCACAGGGATCAATGAACGCTTTTCATTCCACTAATTTATTCATGTTTTTCTCGTTGCCATGCACCCACCAATAACGTAGCTCCATTTTCTGCCTTTAAAAGCACACACAACCCACAATTCCTCTATTCGCTCCGACGAAGGGCTAACGCTCGAAACGTCAGCTTTTGTAATCATTACGGTGGCCAATTTACCATTTCAACTTTGTTGATATATCCAAATTATTTCGTTACTCCCACCGACGCAGCCCCAAACAGTTTCTTTCGAAACTATCGGCCTTTATTAATCTCTATCATAATAATTTTGTTACGCTTTTGCTCAAACAGTATATTATCTGTTGTTATTTTTCTGTTCGTTCCACTAGTTATGTCGCTTTTGTGCGAATATTAAATTCACGTATTTGTTATGCAGGAATGTTTGTTTGGTACCAAACAACGCGGTGTCAAATGAATGTGAATAATGTATGATTTGGACAAAGTAGCGCGATACCTACAACAAAAGTGTGACGAATCAGCATTGTGTGCACAACAAAATGATAATGCAAACGAAATAAAGTATGCAAAAGATTGAGATCTCATCATGCGGTGTTTGTTAATCGTTGTGATATTAACACTGTGATTCAATAATTGTGCAATATCAGTACAGTATGTCTACAGAAAGGACTTTTGAATCACTCTTGTCACAAAATTACTCTTCATTTATTCAGACAGTAGAATGTAAATGGTCTCAGTATCTATCATACTGATAATGGATGTTATGAGATACTTGATTCTCATGCAAGAGACGAATATGGTAGAAGCCATCCCTCAGGTACATGTGTACTATTAGAAGTACCATCTGCTCAGGGCTTTGTACAGTATTTCCAGACTATACACTCCCTCAGTGACAATTCTGAAGTCAGAGGAGTGCAGATAAGTACGTATGAAATAACTGCAGTGAACAGTTTGAGAGAACACAACTGCTCTTGAAAACAATGCTCTGCTGTAGGGCTTTATGCAATGCGTTACTGAGTAACAAAGTCTTGTAGTTGTTAGAATTCCAGAACCCTATGTTGCATAGCTGACCGAGGAAATAAATTATATCGTAACATGGGCATCAACAGGCATCTAAAAAGGGAAGATTTATACACGAGTCTTAATATTTGTGGAGTTGAGATATCAGTCCAAATTAAAGCTCAAAGCTATGGGATGTTGTCCTGTGGTTTAAACTATAAAAAAAAAGTTGGAAAACTTAATTTTCAACAACTACAGTGGAAATACAAGGTTTTTAAAGTGGCTTGCAAGTTACTGTTAGGTACTACTTGTATTATTCAACAAACAGTCAGAGCAAAGTAGATGTTCTCCTTATTGACATATGAAGATACTTGTGAACTTGCAATGCAACAAATGAAAATAAGTGGTAAACCATCATTAGAACAAGCTATTTCTAACATTAATATTATCACAAAGAAACTTAAAACAGGTATTGTTCGCTATAAAATACAATTTTTCCCTTGCTCATCTAACATGGACCTTCATCAAATCAAACACATGCAAAAGCACAGACGAAAATATAATTATGATAATTTGGAACCCGCTCCAAAAATGAAAAGACTGCTACAGGTAAATTTTAGAAACTAAAGCAAATCCAAAGTTAGACAACAGCATGAGAGTGAGACAATCCCAACTATTGATATCTGCATTAATTAATTCAAGGAGAAATTCAGGGAAGGTTTTTATTAGGTATATAATTAGGTACATATGAGGTAATAATTGTACAATCAGTTGAGTATAAATAATGATTATTGCTTAATGTAATTTTTATTGCTTAATGTATTAATTTTTATATTCCTTTTTCCCTCTTTTGTAAACCTTAAATATAGTATGCTAGCTTTTAATAAATATTTTCCTTGTGAAATCATGTGGTAGTGACCATCTCAAAAGCAATTGCTACTATGGTCACTACACACTTCTCCTTTTCCTACAATATGTAAAACTCTCTTCTCTCTATTTTCTCCTTTTATTTTATCTCACTTGTAGTGATATAAGATAATGCAAAATAAAGATGATGATGATGAGGTATGCTATGCATACAATGTTTTCACGATGAAATATACCTCCTTGCATTCAGACCACTATGATTACAATTTCATAATATATCTTTTTAACACGTGCACCAATTGGCATGCACTTATCACCCTTGGGAAGGGGGGGGCTCCTTAAATAAAAGGGACTGGGGTGCTCATTGTACCTTTTAGGAGTTAAAAAAGGTGGGTTTAATTACCTCTTAGGCTGTTCAGCCTCAAAAGGTCCACAGTAGTAGTTTCTGTGATACCTTTTAGGGCATTGCACCAAAAATATGAGAGAGTGCGGTGTTGTAGAATTGGTGTCTCTTTGGGGTGAAAAAAAAAATTTTAGGACCTTGGTATCTCCTTAGTATTTCTTTTAGAACCACTTCACACCATGAATGGTCAACACTCAAAACAGCACGTCTCCCTGTAGCCCGACTTACGATCTTGGATCGTCTTGTTTATTTCAAATTATTTTCATATAAGGACCAAACTTTGTGCCAGCATGCAGTTTGACATGATTTCTCACATACCAAGATGCGTTTTGAAGGCTTGAAGTTGCTCGATTTTTCGCTTTTTGGAACAAGTGTTTGAGAGTACTTTGTTAAAAACCATGTAAATTTTACAATTAAACCAAAGCTCCTAAAAGTGCGACAAATAAAAATCGAATGGATTGTATTTGAAGTAAAAACACCCCCGATTTCTTACGAAACATCCTCCTTCAGTACTAGCACACTGAAGCTGCTCAATTTTACTGTATTTTTTGCGTAATTCATTAGGTAAAGACCCAAATTTTCGTTTTTCTCCATTTTCTCGGAAACATTTGATTTTTCAGACTTTGAAATATTTTTTTCTAATAATCTCCCTGAAAGGGTTTTCCAGGCAGATAATCAGAATTTTCGATTTTTTTAGCCTGGCCAGCGATTCTCGATATTTACAGTCATGGGCTCTTTAAAAATGCGTCTCATTTTTACTAAGAAAGGTCTAAGACAGTAAATGGTTTGAACCCGGGGGTAACATGTGAAGGTGTAGTCTGATCGTCCGGGTGAGTGTAGTCCTGAGAAGGACTGTTGTCGGTGGTAGTGACTGACGTTTCGACAACCTGTGCGGAAGTCATCATCAGAGTCAAGTGAATGATTGTTGTCAGTAGAATGTTCTTATTCCAGTTCGTGTGAAATGATCGGTTGGTTTTGCCGTGATGTTATTGGCTGTAAGACTCAAGTGACGTAAGTCGGTCGTGATTGGTCTGTTTCGATCTGTCGGTAAAGTTAGGTCGTTCTTTTTCGGTCGTTTGTGATGTTTATGTCGTGAATGAGTCGTTTGTATGGAGCGGGTAGTTGTTGACATCTGTTTAGGGGAGTCTGTTCTAAGTTAGTAAACCAGCTTTCCAGAGTCAGTCGTTGAAAATAGTCAGTGCTGTAGGTTAGGCATTGCGCAGAGTCCCANAAGACTATGGCGAGATTTTTTGGCTGTAGCGGCAAGTGATCTTCTTTGAACCTACCCTCAACTGTTTTAAATTCCTTATAATTATTCAATGATCTAGCTGGTTCCATTCTCTCAGTTCATGAAAATGAGCGAAAAAGTGAGCGCGCGAAAAACCACAGAAGGTCAGTAGTAAAGCAGCTGCTGCCTTAACAATAAGAACTGTTTGTTGCCGTGCGTTCGTTCTTTTACTCGTTTCTCTGACTGAGCCTGGAACGGGCTATTCATAAACACAGTCTTCAACTCGCTTAACTTCACTCATATCCTTCGTCAGGGAAAGTTTTTTAACTCATGGGACTCACTGGCATTAGAATTGCAGTTGCCTTGGTTCTTTGTGCTTTGTTCATCCCATGTAGCCACCATAAGCCCGGTCTTGTTTTGTCCTATTAAAAAAAGAATGGCGTTATGATAAGGGAAAGAAGTCTGTTTATATTGTTGAGAGAGTACGGGTATCGCTGACCTAGGTATCCAAACAAACGAACGCCCTAAAGTAATTGCTTGCATTACCATCACTTCCTAGCTAGCCACTCTTCCTTTTTTTACTAAAATAGTATTTGCCCCATGTAAATCTCCATTGGTCCCGTCACCCTGTCGGAAAGGTGACATTTTTGGGTCTTTAAGTCGCTTGCTCGCCGCATGTTTAACAAGTGCATCTCAAAACGCTCTCCCGAGGGGCATAGAAAGCGTAGCCTGCCAGTTCTTTTTGCTAAATATATACAGAGAGTAATTTGGCCTCATCTTTCATCTTCGTAATAACAAGTCTCAATACTTATGGTCTTCTCTCCAGTCCATGATACACTGGCGCCGAAGCCACTGCACCACTTTCAAGAAAAGGAAGCGATCGTACTCACCGGGACAGCAAAGACAAAGAGAGCGGTGACAATTACAGCGGTGACAATTGCAGCGGTGACAATGACAGCAGTGACGACGACAGCTGGGACAAAGATAGCACAAAGCCCCAAGGACGATGACCAGAATAATAACACCCACTACCATTGCCAGGACGACGCCTGCCGATAAGACTTCCTTTGATGATAGCGCTCGATTATGATTGACTGATAAGGTGAAAAGATTATGATCAGCTAATGATTTCAATCAATTATGTAATCTGTCAACCCTCAGAGACCACAATAATTCATTACCCATTTCACGCGCCACTAAAATATTTCGAATAACTGATTCTCAGCCTCTTCATCGACATGAATTTCCTTTCATGGGTCAAAAGAATAAGATCAGCTCTTTTATTCAAATAACTCACATTTGCTTTAAAAGCTAACTGCTTTTCATCCCCTTTTATCGATTCTTTCTCCATTTAATTCATTAGTATACACCAGACAAGTGAAAAGTACCTAGCTTTCGTGCGTGCTGATTGGCTAGTTCGCATTCGGAAGTGAATAATAAGTAATATTCCCCTCTGAGAAGCCGATGAGACATGGTGCATCAGGAGTTTAATTTCCGACGATATTTAGGTATTTTGAAAAACATTAAACACGAAAACAGTGAAGCGAAAGAGGTAGATAATTACCTCGCAACTGCGCGGCACATTAAATATCCACCACTACGGAGTCACCTCTAATCCGGTGAATACTTGTTAACTATTTTTAAAAGTATTTCCTATCTTTAACAGACTAACAAGTTGTCTTTTGATTGGAACCAGTCAATAAAAGGGAAAAAAGTACAAACGATGCCTTCAGCGATTAGGAGTCAAGTCGGTCGTAAAAGTTTAATCTATCTCCTAACAAAATAGCATTGATTAATTTTGACTATTCCACACTTAGAAAATTCACAAGGTACTTCAATGGTAATTCAGTTGTCGCTACGATTCACCTATCGGTTTTGTGTCTGTTGAAGGTGGTGATCAACTGTTTGTCCAGGATGTCCCATCATAAACATTTGGCTTCCAGTCGAGAGCTGAGGCTCATTCCGAGGCGACCCCCAACAGAATTGCCTTTGCGAAGGAGAACTTGTTGACCCACCATATTAATCATTGAACATATTAATCATTTAACAGGAAAACCCAATGGATGACTCCAGCGATTGAGAAGCAAGAAAAGTTATAAGAAACGATGGTCAGTGGGGATAAAATTTCTCATAAAGGATTGAAACAGGATATTCAAAGATAATTTTATTGGGTACCTACCACCAGTCGTTGTTGATGCACCAGTCGTTTTCGATATACCGGTGGTTGCGGTCTCCCCTGTTGGTTTTGTTTCTGTTTCAGGTGGTGATGTTGTAGTGAGAGATGACACTGAATATTCCGCCTTAAATCCACGATCAACTGTTTGTCCAGGATGAAACATCACAAACAGTTGGTTCCCAGTCGAGAATTGAGGCTTGTTCCATGACGACCCCTGACAAAATCGCCCCAGCGGAGAAGAACTTGTTGACCCACCATCATAAAGCTCCACATAAGAACAAGAATCCGAACAAGGTTTGGCTGAACACTCACTTAAGGCGAAGTCAGTAAACACAAACATTACAGTCTTGCCAGCTGGGGCGGTAATTTTCCAGGTACAATTCCTGGACGCAGTGTAGTTACTCTTTGGGTAGTTTGTGCTGCTTATTTTCCCACTACCTGAGAGAGGAATTGCTACCTTTGGACAAACTGTAAAAATTAAAAACGCCCATGTGAGTGTAAGAGAATTATGTTGGACTGGTGTGGAAAAGATTGGTTGATTCTTCCAGCGTTACTTCTTTGGCAGAGTGGAACATAACTCCCCTATCACTTCGTGACGTATTGATGTGCATGTATCTATTGAGGTATTCAGATGCTGGACCGCTAAGTACAGTAAATACAATGACACCTTTATCATGAACTAATGGTGGATGCATAGCCTAGGCCTTATTTGGAGTGCGAGAAACAAAATAAAAATCAAGTAAAAGTGATAATTACTGGTTTTTGGTGATGGGTCATCTAAAGTCTCAGAGTATTGTACTTCAAAACCAGTGCCACGATCATTGGAAAAGCCAGATTCAAACTCCACAAACACTTGGTTGCCACCTGACACTGTCACTTCCATAGCAGAACCAGGACAGAANTTGCAAACATGTAAATAGTTAATTAAGATATTTTTATTGTTCTTGTAGTTTTAACTAATTATTGATTGTAAATTTAGCCCTTTAATTCAGTTAATTCTGCAATGTGGCAAATAAACGGTATATTATATCACTATTATAATATGGGAGACAATAATTGATAATGATGTCAGGGGAATTATAGGAATTGCTACCTTGAATATTTACAAAGTTTAACATAAACTCAGGAAAAAGTTAGTTATTTTTCAATTCAATTAAACATTGTCAGTAAATTACTACACTCGGGGCTTTTTGGAACATTAAAATAAATAAGAAAAAACCACAACAAAACATGGCGTTTAAGTTAAAGCTACTGTATAACTGTATTGACTTGCCAGAAACAAACTGTACCTGATTAAAATGATCATAACAGTTAATTTACTTTGCCGGGCTTTTACACCACAAATGTTAGATCAAGACATACAGTACACAAATTCATTGCACAGGGATTATAAAGCCGCAGCATTTATAGTCCATTTTACAGTTGTGTGCTTGGTTGCCAAGCCTTTGAATGGGAGTGAGGCTAGAGATGACCTTGCTATGATACAAACCTTGCTCCCTTTCAAATGTAAATCACTTTGTTATCATGCTAACTAGATACAGGTCGCTATCACAACAAGGTCATCTTTAGCCTCGCTCTGAATCAAAGGCTTGGCAACTAAGTTCACAACTGTAAAATGACCTATTGATCGAAGGGTAAACTGTCTGCAAAGAAGTTCAACTTTCAACAATCAATGAAAAGTACATGTAAGCCTCCTTGTTACATACGTACTCCATAAAATATCTGGTTCAATTCACTTGTGCCCTTTTATCACAAAGTGCACTCACATTCACACTATTTCCTGTGCATGTTGAAACCTAAGGGAGTGGATTATAACGTGCCTTTCACTAGATTTCACTCTTTTTTCAACAAAATTGCTACTCTTTATTCACGATCAACTTTTTTGTGGTGGAATGGCGGAAAATGACCCCAAATCCTAAAACATGGAACGGCGGAAGAAGACCCCAAATCCTAAGACACAGAAAGGCGGAAAATGACCCCAAATTCTAAAACACAGAACGGATGTCACCTGGGGCATGTTGCACGAATTTTAAACAAAGACACTCAAGCGTTGGCTCATTCATCCCTACGACGATAACGCACGTGACTAAAATTAAGTGTTATTTTTTTTCTTTTACTGAATGGTAGGAATAATAATGAACCCCTATACATGACAGATAGCTGCATTTTTGCATTGTAAACCTGTTTAGTTACCTTTTGTTATGCTAAATTTGCCATGAGTTTTAGTCATGGCATAAAAAGTCGCACAGCATGTGAAACCTAACTTGACATACCACATTACAATAAATGATTGTAACATATGTTTCCTGGTCATGTCTGCATTGATTTAATGAAACAATAATATCTCATATGCTTGTTAGTGTGAGAACATCACAGGAATGTTTTCAGGCTTCTCAAAATATAACAATGTTCTGCACCAGCTCCAAACTTAGACTAGCGTGAGAGCAAGCCCTCATTACAAGCCCTTCAATACGAGTGTTTCTTTGTCCACGAATAAGTTTTAGGTCTTGAGTAATATGTGCTAGGTAAAGAGAGGTTTGCATGGGGTCATGCACGTGGAAATTTCTCATGGCACGAAAAGACAAAAGAAAGTTAGCAGAAGGAACCCGTCAAGAAGAATTTGAAGAATTTCTTCACACTGGGTTTGCCTGAGCTCAATAGCTACTAGTCCTAGAACTGTCAAGGTGTATGACAGCTTATATCAAA